TACATTTTTAAACAGTATTTTAACGTCATTTTAACTAGTGTTCTAAATGGCACGTGAAGACGCACCTAGGCATGATGCTCGACCAAAACATGTACATTCTTAAACAATATTTTTACATCATTTTAACCATTGATCTAAATGACGGCGCCTAGACGTGATTCTCGGCCAAAAAGCCAAGCCAGATGACTTTGCACCTTCGGCAACATTGATCGTTAAAGCGTGCCTAGACACAATTATGCACTCATTGGCGCGCATTATTATCCTTTTTTTATTTTTAAATTTTGTATTATTAAATTAATAGTTAATTTCTTCATATTGCTCTAATTTAAAACAACAACTTGTATCAAAATACACGAAGGACGAATTAGATGAAGAAGATAATATTGAATTGGAATCCAATGAAATCCAATGAAAAGTTAGATAAGATTTAAGTTTCTATACTATTTATTTAATATTTTGTATTTAAGTTTGAAATTTATCTTTTTGTTGGAAACTTTGAAAAAAATGTATAACTCCTATAAATCTGTTTTAAATGTTTAGTAAGTATTATTTTTAATTATTAAATAATTTTTTGATTTATTAAAAATTAAAATAAGAAAATGCATTTTTTACGCCTAATCCACGCCTAAGCTTGCGTAGCTTATAGTTTGGCCTCCATGTATTACGCCTTTTAGAACACTGATTTCAATAATACATTTTTCAATAAAATAATATTACCCACAAATTCAAAATATTTCCATACTTTAATTACATTTCATATCAATATACTATTTAAAAATGCAATTTTAGGACAAAAATAAGGCTCAAACAAGGGTTAAATTCCAACTGGCCACTTATTTTCAGATTTTATCTTTTTATTAGTTTTTATCAAGCTCTAAAAGACGTAATACAACGCTACGTTCAATCATCAAAGTGGCATATGCATGCCTATGCGAAACTGAAGGAAGATTGAAGAAGAATGATGCTCGAGCTCGATTAGATAATCTGCAACTCTACAAAAAATTTGTTTTAGGTTTTCTAAACGTCAAAATTCTACAAATCGTTATACATAATTCGTGGGTTTGGATGATTGGATTTGGTGATTTGGGCTAATTTAATGTTTATTGGGCTCAATTTGCCCATGTTATAAAAATGTGTTGAACTTTGATATGCTAATTTTGACACAATTTTTAATACAAATACGTATGCATTTTGACGTTTAAGTGGACATATGCGAACAACGAAAATGGGTTGACCTCATTATCATGCACATACCCTATATGAGGCATTTCAAAATTGCTCCGATCATATTCATGCATTTTAGAACACGACATTTGCTTTACTCACTATTGTTGTGTCAGCTTAAAAGGTTTACTTATAAATTGTAATTGTAAGTAAATAGATAGTTTTTTTTTTTTTTTTAAAGGTGTAGTAGTTTTGGTATATGAAAAAAAACAAAAAACATATTCTGAAGCCGAATTATTTGTTATGGAAATATACCTTTTTATTGGTCCCTCCGATGTCATATCTATTCGTTTTGATTGTGAATGATTATTATTAACTTTTCATCTTGATATTTAGTATTTATTAACGATAATGGACGCAGCTACTGAGAATTCATATATGATTTGGGAAATTGTTCCTAGTCAACAAGCTGTTATTTCTATTATGTTAGCATCATAATATGATAATGTATATAGTTTTTCTATACTAGATTCTACTTCGAAATGCATAAAGAGGATAATTGTACTTAAAATTGACACGAGTGGATAGATAGAGAATATTCAGTGGCGTGAAACAACTCTCTTTAAGGAACTCGAAAAATAATCTTGTAACTTCGGGAGAAGAAGTGTCACCTAACAAATATGGTCGCAGCGACCAGACTCGACGCTTATAAAAATTACAGGTCTTTGCAAAATTGTAAGACCACGTACGAGAGGTTTTTGTTGTTAATATACTTTGTGTGACAGGGATTTTCTTAGTTTTTGCCAATCTCATTTTTATTCAAGGAGGTTTTATATGAGTCTGAATCCAATGAAAAGGGCACTAGTGGATTTTCACGAGGTGTTGTTTCGATATGAAAATTGACTTGTCGAGTGTTTGGATTCAGAAGAGGGGTGCTTTGTAGTTTAAACTGCATACAATTGTTGGTTGTATTTTATTTTTCTTTTTGATCTTTTGAGTTTATTTAGAATATTTAATTATAATATAATTTGATTTTAATTAACACAAAAAAAGTGAGGATTTCAGTCGATTTCAATACTTTCACAATAGTAAATGTTGTAAATAATTTCTTGTTCTTCTTTTTAAATAAATATATACTGATCATAAATATGTTTTTATGAGTTTTAAATGATAGGAAAATGAGGAGTAACTCAATATATTAGATTATACATAAAACTTTACCACATACCATCAAGAATGAAGTGAATGTTAACCAATACTATATAGTATATACAAGTCCTAGTATAGTTTATGTACTTACAGTTTTGTTTTGAATGTAGAGATACGTAATCTGCCTCGACACCAAGTACAGAACTATCTCCCCCACTAGCCTTTGTTGGCGAACTGTGCCGTACTCAACCATTGGAGAATTTCGTACAATTCGTCAACAGAACTCTTTCATTAACCACTCAATGCACCTAACAAGAATTCTTGTTGGGCCATTATAATGGAGATTTGTTGCATCAACTCATCCATCTTCCTATCGTAACCGTGTCGCTTTTTTTTCCATCACCGTCTCTTCCACGAGGAATTCATAAGCAACTGATTATGCTCCGGAAGGCATTGTCTGGAGTATGACGTTTGCTTCGATATCAACTGATACATGCAAGTGTCTAAATATAGAATAAAACCTAAATCTGATTCCATTGATTTTGTAGAAGATCGAAGGAAGATCAAAAATTGGAATTAAATACGAATGATATAAGAAAAAACCTAGAAAAACCATACAAGTACTAATGTCCAAAATGCCCTCACTTAAAATAGAAAGATAGAATTGAAATAATATTTAATTGAATAAAATTAAGCTATTTTGCTAGTCTAGTATCGTGATGTCCCACGATGTGAAGACGTTCCACCTCCTAAGCTCCTAGTACTGCTAATTTTGTGCTGACATTCATAGATGTTTACACCATGCCTTCGTTCATTTTGACCCGCGATCCCATCTACGTCAATTTTAATTCCTCTATATCTAGAATATTGAATACGAGTAGAGTTTTCAATTGCTTTGAACCTTCATCTAGAACGAATGTTCTTCAAGTTCAAAATATTTTTGTTTGGATGATGAGACAGAGCCCTTATGAAGAGCGAGCCAAGTTGAAAAGTTAGTTGGAGACGAATTTTTAATAAGATTAATAAATACTTCTTCTTCTTCTTTTCTTTTCTTTTTTTTAAATACAAATGTTATTTTGACAAAAAAATTATAAGTAAAGAAATTATACTCAAACAAAAAATTCTTTCTTTTCCAATCACTTCACAGTGCAAACCCCAATATGCTTAGAGGTGACCCAATGTTACACTGGACCATGAAATATGGGGAAAATTATAGCCACGCTACCAAACCTGTCATTTAATATCAGACTCGACATAAACCTTTCATTTGTACCACCAACAATTTCAAAGCTTTTAGAAATTCTCACATGGAGTCCAAATGAATGATTTCCGTTAATTGACCAGAATAGTAAAATTTAACTTATTTTGATCATTTTTTATAAGGGTAACATTGTAAAATTACATTTTTCACAAAAAAAAAAATTAAAAACATAATTATAATAATTAAATTAAAAAAACAAAAAACCACCCACCCTCATCTCCTTCTTCCCCCTAGCCCCTCACTTAAAAGCAAAAACCATTCTCACCCAAATGTCGATCGTTCCCTCAACCTCCAATTCCAACGTCACCTCAAAACCAGCAGCTTCCTCAAGCATTCGAAAATGAAATGGCAAAACCTCAAAATAAAAACAATAGAGAGGAATCGACAATAGTGCTCGCCTTTGAGACCTCTGTGTTCAACTTGAAGGCTGGTTATCATCCCAATTGAACCATCACGCCATCACCACCATCTAGCTGCCACCTCTGCCATCGCCTTTCCTCACCATCACCACCTTCATTCACTAGAACTACCATTTACACCATGAACAAGGGGAGGGTGCTGTATGCAGATGGGAAAAGAAGGAGATGTTTAGGTGCATGGGTTGTGTTTTTTGTCTTTTTTATTATTTAATTATTTTAATTTATATAAAAAATGTAAATTTATCCTTTTACGCTCTAAAGATTAGTCAAGATTTGGTTAAACCATAGAGTTTTAGTTGACTAACGGTCAAATTGAAGGAAACCATCCACTTGGATTTCAGGTGAGAATTTCTAAAAGGTTTGGTACCTCGAGTTTCACAAATGAATCGTTTGAGTCAAATTTGCTATTAAAAAAAAAAATTGGTACCGTGGCTGCAATTTTCCCTAAAATATAACGTATAATTGAGATTCTTGAAATCCCAATTCTATTACTGCCATTATTATACAATAATAATATATAGAGGCTAAAACCTACCTGTCACTCCCTCCCCAATATCGCAAGAGTACCCAAATTCCTGCTCATTGTCTTCACGTAAGCATTTGTGTGTACGTATATATATGTATATACGTGAATGCGTATATTTTTTTATAGTGGATTGGTGTAATTTTATTTGTTTGAACGGCAGGCGAAGAATTGATGTACTTTCCTGGAGATCTTGACCACATGCAGAATCATGATGATTGCCTTGAAGCATAAAGGTACATTCTTTCTTTACCCCTCCTCTCTGTCTGTCAGTCTTTTTTGTGTTGATGTTTATGTAATTCTTGATTGTTGCTGATTAATTTTTATTAATTTGCACGTGTTTTTAATTATATCTGGGTCTTTTGTGTTATATAAGACGTTATTTATTTTTGAGGGCTATACATTATTTTTGTTTTTGGTTCGGGTTGTTTGGGGATTCAAATTGGAAAGAGTTTTTTAACATCCGACACAAAATTCTCTCTTTTCTGGTGGGTGGAGCGGGGTGCAAAAGATGAGAGAGATTGTGGGGATTTATATGTTTTGTATGGGGAGAATTAGTTTAACGTTTCCTTTTACGTGTTTAAATGACTACTTGGAACGAGAAAGTACTAATAAATATGCCAATTTGACATCATAGAAAAGTTACCAGATGACGATAGCAAGATTATGATTGGCAGTGGCTGTGATGGGATGCTTTAGATATGAGATGGATAAGAAATTGTTGCAATAAAGGAGCAATATAACGTACCTGATATCAGTTTACCAAGTTGCCTATTCCTTTTCTTTTTGACGTAGTTAGTTTCAAGAATAGCTTGGTGATCTTAAGGAATTCTAAGATGGTTTCTATATTTGAATAAAAGGGTAGTTTCTTTTCTGCAGCCAGGGTTGAGAAGATTAATAAGAGGTGTGATGCACGATAAGGTTGTGTTTGCCACAGAGAATTAAACTATGGAATTACATATAAAATTAGAGTAGATATACTATGTAGACAGTAATAGAGTGGATAATATATATTTTTTTTATTCAAAAGAATGTTATTTGACTGGAAGATATAATATAGAGCGAGTAGGTAGATTTAGTCCGGACAAGAAAGATAGTGCAAATAGCATTCTCTTCAATGAAAAACTTATAAATAATATCCACCTTATTGCTATCTTCTCTAATTTTATGAATAATTTCTTGTATGGTCCAATCCTACATGCCAAAGTTAGCCTAAGGAGCTTATTTCAATATAGACAGTACAGTTACAATCATTAGTCTTGTGCTCAGAATCCTTTGTACTACTAATCTTTATAAAAGATTCCAGTAGGAAAGCCAAGGAATATTGGTCAGTGATGGCAGCTCTATTTAGAAAACGGTTTGGGGGAGATTGAATGGATCGTTTGATAAATTGGCAGACAGTTGTTAATGTTGAGGCTGGGATGGTTTGGGTCTGGTTAATTATTTGGGTAAGAGCATGTCTATGGTAGCTAAGTAGTTTCAATTTACAACTTTTTCTATTGGAATCTTGTTCCCCTTTGCATATGTTAATCAGAAGGATACATGATTTAGAGCCAAAATGGATGGGATTTTAGATTTTCCCCTATTTATTTACGCTAGAATTGAAAGTTTACCTCGTTGCCAATGGCAGCAGGAGATGAGTGATTAGAGATACTCAACATGAAGGGCAACATTTTAATTAGTTCTACTGGGCTCTCTTTTATTTTTTGGTAATTGAGATCCCAATTATCCTCCATGTTTATATGACTTTCCAATCAATAATATATTCATTTTTATCTAACAAAAATATTGCCAGAGCACACAGCTGGCTGCAAAGAAATTTAGCCATAGATCTGGTTGGTAAATTTTGTGTTTTGGCATATATGATTTGATACTTGGTTAAGTCCCACTGTTTACCCATAGACATGAAAGAATGCTTAAAGCACCATATAGTGTAAAGGATTTCCTTGCATTACTCTTGTGAGTTGGAGCTTCTTTAGCATATACGAAACATGCCACAGTCATCCAATTCATTAATTTAATCATTAATTGGTGCCACTTTTTCTTGTTGACGTACATTCGTATAGTATACATTCTAGTATAGCCATATCCATCTATATAAACCAAAGTACAATATCATAAAGTGAGTAATGAAACTAAAAAAATAGAATAAAAATGATTTTCCTACATTTTCCGTTTTGAATCAACGTTAAATTTATTTACTTCGCTTCAAAGTCATTTTCTCACAAAAAAGTATTCCTCGTGTAACTGATGAAGAAAATGCATGTCAATGCCTTGAAAATAGATAAGGAGCCAATAAAAATACAGACGGGCCTCGGTAACTGGTAGTAGAGGAGACCTTGTCAGAGACAATTTCTTATTGTCAAAACTCCAAGCCTGGTAAGGATTGGGTCTTGGTCCTATCATTTGTCAACCCCGGATGAGATTTTCATGGCCTAACTCATGATTGAATGCCATGTGATGAAAGCCGTAAAAAAGTACCCAATCCATATGTATAATCATCATCACACGATGTCTTATTTCATATTCTTGAAATTTCAGAAAGTTTTGCATGCTTTGTGATTGTCATTGATGTTTGATTGAAACTTGAACCTTCCTCCCTCTATTGTATAGCTCAGCAACTTACAACTCTATGGAATTTAAGCATGAATAGAATGTCCATCAAGATTAATTCATGTTTTTCTTAACCAAACAGCTAGATTAAATTTCATCGACATAAATTTAAATTTAATCTGCAATTCAACTTGCCTCGGAGATGAACTCCTAGATTCTCTATTTCCAAACCATATCAAACGTGTGGTAAAGCTGGCTTAATTTTGTTTTTCTATTCTATTAACTGCAGATACTGGGCAAAAGAACTCTGAGGCACCCATAAAGTGCCTCCGGAGCAAGGATTGCCCTTGTAATCTGCATTACAATGGCACTCCCGGTGAAGGATTTTCGAAGCTCAGGGATAGCCTCCTTGCTCATCCACATGGGAATGCAACTGAATTAAATCTCTCGTTAAGCAGAGATTCTCTTGAACTTCAGAAAGAATCTCAAAACTGGCCAAAATACCATCACGATTTACGTTCATGGGTGGCTTTCTATCCTGTTTCAAGTAATATGCCGCCAGGTCAGCTAAATGCCTCTGAGGATCAATTTCACCCTTTCTCAGTAAATCACAGATTCCAGTATACTCCATCAAATGCGTTTCCTCAAAGTTATCCATATGATTACCAGATCCAAGATTTTCAATATTTTATCGTCATTGATTTCGAGGCAACATGTGACAGAGAAAATATTCCTCATCCTCAAGAGATAATTGAGTTTCCATCTGTAATAGTGAACAGCCTTACTGGACAGTTGGAAGCTTGTTTTCAATCATATGTGCGGCCCACATGCAACCAGCTCCTCAGTGAATTCTGCAAGGATTTGACAGGCATCCAGCAAATTCAGGTCTGCTTCAAGTCCAAAGTTCATCCTTTTGTTTATGATCTTAATAAAATATGGCTTTTGAGTGAGATATGTCAAATCATCAGATTATATTTGTTTTCCTCTTGAATGATCAAAATTCAATGGGGCGCAAATTGCAACCAATAGATACATAAAAGTGGTCATAGACTTGTCCACATACTGTGAGGTGAATATAGAGGTATAAAGTATAAACTTTGATACAAGTATGGAAACCCTTTACCATTCATACAGTGGGTAGAGAAATCCTTAAATTCATTCTGCGACTCCCCTTAAAGATCACATGCGCACACATACAGGATAATCTTTCTTGTCCTTACTTCTCTTCTCTATGACCATTGCCACTTTGTTTCAAAACCGTATTTCCCTATACTACCACCATTATTTCTACTGCTAAGTAAGGTTCTCCCTGCCCACCACCTTAATATAAGTTACACATTTAGCTCAAGACGTGTTCATACGAAAAAGTTGTATATGATAACAGTCGTATAATAATCGTAGTTCGCTAATAGTGTAATAGTGTTATATTATTTATATTTATGTTTTTGTTAATATCTGTTACCGGATTTATTGCTGACATTGCATTGAGTTTCTTTTTTTCCTGCATGGCAGACAAAAAAGGAGTTACTCTTGGGTCTTGGTTCTACCAAAATGAAATATAATCATGAAGCATTACAAACTCAAATTTGATTAAGCTAGTAGGATTGAAAATTTGATTTTTGTGTACAACGGCGAAGGTTTAACAGTGACAACTGGGATTATTTTAGAGAAGAAAGCCAAGGCTTCTTGAATTTGATACGATTCTGTTCGCATCAGTAACAGTATCATGGGGAGTATTAAGGGGTGAAAGCTGTTTGGTTAAATGTTTTAAGGAAGAAACTGGTCAACTTAAACTTGAATTTTTGTACTCCAGAATCATATTTGACTGGTTCCAAGCATTGAGCATGAAATAAACTATCGAAAATTTTAGAATAGCAATAAATGGAAGAATCATTTCGGTAGTCCCTGAAGGTATCATACAACCACGAAAGCTTAGGAATTGTGTAAAAGGCCAAAAACATATTTATTTGATTATATTTGAATATGTAAGGTGCATGTCTATTTATAAGCTGCAAGATATTTGCACACGGGACTCAGCATTAAGGTGCCTGTCTATTTATAAGCTGCAAGATATTTGCACACGGGACTCAGCATTAAGGTGCCTGTCTATTTATAAGCTGCAAGATATTTGCACACGGGACTCAGCATTAAGGTGCCTGTCTATTTATAAGCTGCAAGATATTTGCACACGGGACTCAGCATTAAGGTGCCTGTCTATTTATAAGCTGCAAGATATTTGGAAGCGGGACTCAACATAGTAGAGCAATATAAGACTAATTGAAACTCAACTTTGAAATCCTAATATTACAAAAACATAAATGATCCAAAAAAAAAAAAAAACTCTAACTGGAAGTAATCTGCAATTATGAAATTCATGAGACTTGACTAAAATAGTTAGAACTGCCGAAACTAGCACTGGAGCTTATGAAAGTAAGTCAATGCAGGTCAGCTCGAGGGTTTACCTATTGCGCACCCGAAGGGTAGTAGGCTGCGGGTTCTCCTGTCATAAAAAAATAAAATAAAAAAAGTTAAAACATAAATTAAGGCCTGTAAAAAGCTAAATAGCAGTTATCAAGCTCCATATTTGGCTGGAATAGGACTATATCCTAATTCCAAACGTTAAGCCTTCTT